CTTGGACTCTGTGGAATATTTGGGCTACCACTTGTCCCTGGCCAGTGTAAAGTATGGGTTTACCCTCGGGTGACTGGGCTTCAAGACTGGGTGACAGGGGCTAAGTCTGGGTGGCCAAATTCAAGGCTGGGAGACAGGGGCCAAGTCTGGTTGGACTGGAGTTGGGGCCAGAGGTCAGGGGTTAAGTCCAGGGGACCAGACTTGAGGCTGGGAGTGCAGGAATAAGACTGGTAGCATGGGAAACTGACCAGTCTTGGGGTGTGCACAGGGGGAAGCCAGTCTGGGGGGTTGGATCTACCTCCCTTGGTCTCAGCTTATGTGCTGTACCCTTATGCAAGCCAGGGAGAGGTCTGGGACAGGGGCTGGGGATAGCTTAAGGCTCAGCCTTAGCTATAGAGTAGACTTGGGGTGTAGTATGGAGTTGAGGGTAATACTAAATTGATATTCTGACTGAGGGTGCTACAAAATATGTACAGGGGTTAAATACATGAGGCCAGTCTGGGATAATGAACATAGAGCTGGACTTGTTAATAAGCTATTAGCAAGAAGATTAGCAAGAGTGTGGACAGCCATAGGGGCTGTGCTGAGGCTAATAGTCAAAGTCCAGGTGACTGGCATAACTGGGGTTGGACACAGGATTTGTACAGTAAGCAGAGTCAGATGAAAGGAGACTAGATTAAATATAGTACAAACAAAGGAAAACAGACTGGAGTTATGTCTGGGTGACCTGGCCATGGACCTGGGAGGACCAGGGTGGAGCAGTGCAAGGCCAGGAGGCTGGAATGGACTGGAGGGGTAAAAGACCAGACTTGAGTTATTCAGGCTGGAGTTGGGTTATCTAGGGCCAGAGTTGGGTTTTCTAGGCCAGACTAGGACCAGGCTTGACTGGAGATAGGAGCTAGGGGTTGAGACTGGACCAGGATTGAGTCTGAGAGTCATGGATATGACAGCCAGCCTTACCATGTCTTCAGAGAAAGTCAAAGCTATCTGTGACTGGCCTGAGCCCCAGAAGGTAAAGGACATTCAGTCCTTCCTGGGCTTCACCAATTTCTACTGCTGGTTCATTTTCAACTACTTGGATATAGTGGTACCTCTAACCTGGTTGACATGCAAAGGTGCTCCCTGGAACTTTTCTAAGGAATGCCACTGGTCTTTCAATAAACTCAAGCAGGCCTTCACTACTGCCCTGGTCCTAACTCACTTTTCCCTGGACACTCCTATTACTGTTGAGACTGATGCATCTGACTATGCCATAGCTGGTATTTTGACCATCACCAGTGGTGATGGTCAAATCTGGCTGGTCACATTCTATTCTCACACCTTAACAGCCCCAGAGCTAAATTATGACACTCATGATAAGGAATTGCTCACAATCTTCAAGGCATTCCAGACATGGCAGCACTACTTAGAAGGATCTGCAGTACCAGTTGATGTTGTCACTGATCACAAGAACCTAGAGTATTTCTCCACCTTGAAGGTATTAACCTGGTGCCAGGCATGCTGTTCTGAGTTTTTGTCACAGTTCAATATGGTTATCCAGTTCAGACCCAGTAAACTTGGTGCTAAGTGTGACACCCTAACTAGACAATGGGATGTCTACCCCAAAGAGGGGGATAGCAACTACACATGGGTCAACCCACAGAATCTCAGACTGGTCTTCATGCAGGAACAGCTAGCCACCTCCCTGCATGCCACCTACCTTGAATACCCAGTCCTACATGCTGTTGCACCAATGGATGTGGAGAAGTTACACAATGATATCCTCACAGCCCTACCCTCAGACCCAGTTGCCCAAGTCCAGTTCTCAGATACATCAGATTCCCAGTGGTCAGTTGATGACACTGGCTTCCTCTGCCTAGATGGAAGAATCTATGTACTGGACTCTAATGACCTTCACCTTCATGTCTTGAGGTTCAAACATGACCACCCCTTGTCTGGCCACCTCAGCCAAAACAGAACTCTAGAACTCATCCAGCATGAATACACCTGGCCTGGCCTAAGGATATTTGTCAAAGACTATGTCTGGTTCTGTACTACCTGTGCCTGGGCCAAGGTACCCTGTCACTGGCCTTATGACCTACTCAAACAACTCCCAGTGCCAGAGAAGCCATGGAATTCCATCTTGATGGATTTCATAGAGCAACTCCTGGCCTCAACTGGCTTTACCACCATCCTCATCATGGTCAACTGGCTTTCAAAGCAAGCCATCTTCATACCTACTCATGACACCATCACAGCCCCTGAGCTCACCAAGCTCTTCCTGATGCATGTATTTTCCAAGCACAGTGTACTGGCCCATGTAACCTTAGACCAGGGATCAGAATTCATATCCCACTTCTTCTGGTCTCTTGGTAAAGCTCTAGACATGCATCTACACTTCACCTCCAGTTATCACCCAGAGGGGGATGGTCAGACAGAGTGCACCAACCAGACCCTTGAACAATATCTCCAGGTCTACTGTAACTACCAACAGGATAACTGGGCCAAGTTACTACCATTGGCTGAGTTGGCTTACAACAATGCACCTAGCACTACAACTGGGGTATCACCCTAATATCTTGGTCTTCCCTGAGTGTGACCTCATGTCCAACCAGGCTCATGATTATGCAGTCAACTTATGTAGATTCACTGCACCAATACCTTTGTGAGGAAATGGCTCTTGCCCAGCAACATTACCATGGACCAGCAGATGCTAAGTGTATGCTGGCCCTGGACTTCAAAGTGGGTGACAGTGTCTATGTAAACACCAGGTGTTTCTGGTTGACCCAGCCCTCCAAGAAGTTGGGACCATGTTGTCAGCCACATGCTCCACCACCTTAATCAGGCACTGTAGGAATAGGTAATAGATGTTACCTAGAATTAGTAATTGTCAGAGATGGGCAAGATTTGTGCTCAACCCAAAAGGGAGGTTCTCGCTGGAGAAAAGAAGTGTAGTAAAAAGGTGAAAAATGCAAACTGAAAAGAATACTTAGCTCTGTTTGTCCAATACCTCTTGCCAGTCCTCCTGGCCCTTTGGGTACTCCCCAAAGTAATAATTCTAATGTCAAAAACTTGCTGAAATGTGAGACAAAATCACCCCACTACTGAGTGCCTCTTACATGAATTGCTTCCATGGTAAACTGAACTCATGCGAACACAGCATGCATGCTTAGTCAGCAACATGGCTGCTCACTGTCACACACCAAAGGTGTTTGGTGAGGTGGACATGGATACAGCTGATGAATGGAGATGAAGACCATAGCCCTCATGCGAAGAAGGACAGCCAGGAATGTTGGCAGCCATCCCTCGCACAAGAACAAGTCACACAACACCCCTGACTTCCTCTTAGGGTGGAGTAGGAGTGGGTTGGGCTGCAGAGTACAGTGGTCAATGTCTGAAGTGAATCCAACCACTGGGTGGTGAGATATGCAGCAAACAAGGAGTGGAGGAGCATGGAGGAAAGTTTTGGGGACAGAGGTTGGAGTCAGAGGTCAGAAGTCAGATGGGAGGGCATTGGGTTCAGCTAGTGCACTGCCCCCCTGCATGAGCTCAGCCCTCATATTTCAGAGGTAGAGTGGTCTCAGAGGAGTGGAGGCAAAACTCCAGAGGGAACTCAGAGGGAGTTGGAAGTGGGGACTTTATTGTCAATATTTGTACTGATTACATCAGAGTACTATGCAGCCTTATATACAACATAGGTCAAGGGCAGGGCAGTGTAGAATGCAAGCCAATAAACATATAACAGGTTAGCAGTACCTCTGACACAAGGGATAGAGGACAGGGACAACAGGGACCTTAACTGAGACAAGGGAACTACTACAATGAAGGAGAGAGGGTAAATACTGAAGAAGTGGAAGAATGGAAAAAAACTGACACAAGGGCAGAACCCTATCTAGAATGCAGGGTTGCAAGTCTGACATTCTGCTGAGCTGACCAAGGCCTCAGAGGAGGCACAGGTGAGCAGAGGCAGCTAGAATGTGGACTGGGGACCTCAGAGAGGTGTGGAGATGTGTTTGGAGGGTTGGAGGAGCATGGGAACACATTGGAAGAGGGTGGAGAAGCACAGGAACATGTTAGAAGAGGTGGAGAAGTGTGGGAACATGTTGGAAGAGGGCAGAGTAAGTGTTAGGGGCTTATGCTGGTGTCATGGTCATGACACAGCTCAAGAGCTGGAGAAAATGAAGCTCACCATCAAGTTGGAGGAATGGAACTTTGTGCTTGGAACCTTGCCTTGCAAAAAGGTGTAGCTGGCAGTGAGGATCAAGGCCCTTTATCTAGTAATCAAGATGTTTATCTGCTTTGATAACACTGTATGACAGAATACTCATCATCATTTAGTATGCATTCCCACTCCCCCCCTAGTTGTATTCCTGTCCTGCCCCCCTCCCCCCATATATACATCTGTGTCTGTTTTCACACTACAATAGTATGTAGTAGTATATGTGAATATGGATGTTTGTTTTGTTTGTTATCAGTTCATTTTCATTTGCTAGATCTCTCTATTGATAAGCATGCATGCTTTTTGGCAAAGTTTTAATTTTAAATCAGAGTGTTAATAGCATTATCTACACACCTACTGTTTCCGGGTCACGCGCTTCTTCTGCGGAGTTTGAATCTCCAGTCGGAGATTTAATATTCGCCCACAAACTCACAACTCAACCGCACTTGAGTTTGCTCGCGTGTTTTTTCCTGAGCGGCCCTAATTAATTATAATAGCCAAGATCCATAGGAATCAAAGAGAGGTTTTTTGAAATAGAGCTTCAATCTGAGTCCGAAATTATATATGCTCTAATGAACTTTCTTAGTTTGTGAAAGTTTTGCTCTTCAAAGCGCTGCTGCAGCAATTCCCATTTCCGAACTGGCTGTAGACTGCTTCCTGTGACCATCTACCACCAGGCAACTTTAACCCTGTACCTATTAACCTCCAACGATGTCCGTGGCTCGGCCTCTGCGAATCTCATGTACGACGTTCAAGATTTCGATTCCCCAAGATCCTGAAGTGACTGACACCGATGAGGCAGATATTGAGCTGCAGAATGCGGAGGATAATATTGAACTTATCGAGTTAATCCTCCCCGGTCGTCGACTCAGAATTCGATCACAGAGTAAAAACTTCTTTCGGGAAGAATTCCCTCAGCCTCTGTAAGAGTGTCTCTTTGACATGCTTGCCGCTCCTGAAGTTCTTCGTACCCAAAAGTACCGTTGAGGGCGAAGCACTCTCATTTGTCGTTTATAGGAAAAAGTGGTATTCTAAAGTCATTCCGGTCGCTAAGTTCGTCCGAGTCAAAGTCGATGATGTACTGTCTAATTCGCTGGAGCAGAGTAAGTCAGAAGATGAACTAGCCCCTTCTTCTGTGTTTCATTCAAATGCTTGTAGAGTTTCAGCTAGTACACAACAATTTGGCCATCACCATTGGACTCTCACCAAGCAGCACTCAGGTCGTACGTGCAAATGGATGGAGTCCCGAAGGGTTCTGATGGAACATCTACAGAATGTAATGCCCGTTCACGATGATTCCGCGCCTCTGAACACTGGTGTCCTGCGTCCTACTACTGAAGACCTCCTGAAGGAGTGCCCTCGGTGAGTACGTCCAACCTCCCACTGCGCAAATATCTGACATTTCTATGCTAGTTTTCGGGTATTGGTAATCGGGCAGGTAGTGAGCGCTGGCCGGCATCACAGAGCTAATTTTTAACGACGATATCATTCCAGTCCGGTGTTGGGAAATCTACACTGATTAGCCAAACCTTTGGAGTCAAGCAGGCAGTTGAGTAACCGAGAACATGTCCATGTTCTTTGCTCATGAAATGCCCAGGTCGCTGAAGATGACGAGCCCGGAGAAGCTGATATTGGGAAAGAACTCATCTTGCTGCAGAACGACCGGTTTGTCTTACATGACAGCAAGGGTTTTGAACCTGCGGAACACAACAATTATAGCAGTGTGAAGACGTTCGTAGAGAATCGTAAACATCAGCCAAACATCAAAGATCAATTGCATGCAGTCTGGTAAGTCAATCCAAGATTCTCATAAGATTCTCATGAACGGTTATGCCATAGGCTGTGCTTCCGAACACCCCTCGTATCTCACGGGGAATGCCTTATGGAACGAAGCGCGGAGAGGTTCTTGCGGGAAGATATAGGTGTCATTGGGGACAGTAAGTACATCAGCACTTTTGTCGCATCTTCCAAGCTCTTGACTGCCGTTAGTTCCGACCATAGTGGTATTCACGAAATACGATAGGCTTCTGGTCAGCTTGCAACTTCAGAGAGTTTCCAACCCTGGCTCAGCTGCAGAAGAGTACTTGGAAAAGCATTGCATCAAGCCTATCCAAGAGTTCACCGGAAACCCAGGTCTAACACATCTCACAGTTAGCTGTGGTGGGTTTAATCCACTTTCACTCCGTTCCACGGTTCAACCGTTATGTTGTTAGAGGACGGCGAGCATAGACAAGGGCTTGAAAAATTGATTGAGCTCACCTATGAGAAAGTCAATGCGGCTTTTGGGTCTCAGCTGGGCATACCATCCCCAGTTTCGGTCGTGACCCAAATGGCACAGAGAGTCTCGCCAAGGTTGAAGGTCGAGGGATCGATAGCGTGAGTTGTGCTCACCCGTTTCCATATCACGACCTGAAGTGTCATTTTCTCATATAGTGTTGGCAAGCAGAGTAAGCAATCGTGTATGGCTGGCAGCTATGTGAAACATTGATACCCATGTTTTGAAGGATATTGGAGGGCATTGACTTCTGGTGCTAATTTTTGGGATCATACGATTCTTGAATGCCTCTCCGTTATTCATACTGACATCGTGTCTGTCTGGAATTTCAATGACCCATCTCAAGTGAGTGTGACTCAATTACCGCTGTAATGATCTACTAAGTGACGTCTGTCCCATAGTATCTCTATAGCACTGAATTTCGAGAACTGATGATGAACCTGGTGGGGACCATTGACTCGTCGGCGCCCCGTCTCCCTCGTACTGACGGTACCAGCAAAATATGCGAGTAAGTACTATTGTGCAGGCCGTCATTACATTACACTTATGAGGTGTCACACGACAAGGTCAGGGGCTTCCTTGCTTACTCTGCCGTTTAAAGCGGGACTGGGCCTCGTACAATGGGTTCATGAAGCATATCGGCGACTGTGGGTGACATGATTTCAGCATTTCCTGCGAGTAACTCTCCTTAGACCGGACGTGCATCGTAAGTTCATGGCTTACTGTTGTCGATCTGGTGCACGTCTTGGAGATATTGCTCGCACTCACCGCAAACAACAACGAAAAGAAGCTTTCCCGTGGAGCCATTAGTTTGGCTTTCAATGCATACTATCCGTCGGCAATACAGTGCGACGCTCACCAGAAGATCAAGAGTCGAAACTATATAATCCCGGGTCGCGACGCCGTTCTCGACGAGATAGTTTCTTTAGTTTGGATGAGTGCGATTGACGACAGAGGCATTATAAAGGACCTTGCCAATATTCCACCTGTGGATCTGGAGCGAGACGATGAGTGGTTTATGGTTGCTGACAATTCGCACTCGTTCAATCTTTGAGCTATTCTTCACTGAACAAGAGGTTCTCTTCTCTATCACTGCTACCGCCGCGTTTTGTAATCGTACTACGACATACCTGCAGTACATACGATTTAGCAGATACACCCAGCCCTTTGTCCCTGACAGCAAGGTCACGAGTTGATGTTGAGTGCTCCAGACCGTATTTGGGTATGAATAAAGTACCCAATGGTCTTATCTCGGCTTCAGATCAAACGATCAACTCGCGTCTCATTGTGCAGGATGAGTATAGGCGACCCAATCAACGGACCACCCTGCGCGCTGTGGTCCAGGACCTGAACAGGGTTTCCCGTTGGTGGAAGTGCATCCGCCTCCATCATCTGCAGCATAATTGGCGTGGAGTATTGTACTTACATTTCCACTGGGACCTGGCTGCTCTGGTCGACTTCATAAACAATATAGCACTGGCCATCGGCATCCTGGAACCAGCTAGGTCAATGGTCCCACCACCCACCACCCGGCGAGCAAGGAGTTGCGCTTGTTGTGTGTAGGGACCCACAGGGATTGTTGAAGTCGCAGGACCAACGCAGTGCCTGTTCTGCGAGGGAGACTCAGCAGCACAGTCTGCACAAAAGTATGTGGGCATCTGGTGTAACGACGGGAAATGGTGGCTGGTACATGTGACAGAGGTGCAGTTTCCTCAGTCGACAACGTCGGGCGCCCTTGAAGAACTGACAGTTGGCGACGGACCAACGTCTGGAAGCGCATCCATGCCATATAGCAGTGTTCACATCGGAGTTAGTTGCATGCGCGTATGTTATTGGGGCATAAACAGTTGCGCGTTGGTTGCTGGTTTATAGCGATTCCCGTTGCACTGCAATAGGATAATTCAAGATTTAGAACGGCATAACTCCCATCCGACACCGCGGATTGATGGAGTACTTACATGTCAGCACGTGTCCTAGCTAAATATTAGACACAGGCGTTGGAAGAATGGCTGAAAACTCAGTTGCAACTCGCAATGCTGTGTTTGGCCTACATTTGTCAAGCTGAATCCTGGAAGATAGATTGGAAGGATGTGTTCTATACCGCTTACTGTGCGCCTGCTCGATCCAACTGAGATGTTTTGTAGCGAGCCTTTGATCTTCATCAGAAGGACATGGAATGATAGAATCACGGTCACGACCAGTCGGTGACAGGTTTAAACCATTTATTCGCTTACTGATGTTGCCCTATCTCGAAGCTATGCCCAGAAACACGTTGATAGATCTCCAGCGCTCCACGAGTATCAACAGGCTCTACCGACCGCTTGCGCCACTACAGTGTTGTCCTTCAATGCTTAGCCTTCGCCTCAGTCACTGGTGTGTGTGTGTAGCGTACATGCTCGATCAGATTGGTAGAGGAAAGCCTCCTCCATATGGGCCTAGCAAACAGTGGGAAGAGACCAGTACTAGCCCATTGTATACTCCGGGCTTCTAGTATGTCGGTGTATTGGCTTGAGTACGTCCATCCATTGCTGCATGCTGGTTTAAGTGGTACCTTTGACATTTGTCGATGTAATGGCCAACACTCTGCTTCTTTGGAGAGGATCCTTCGGCACGGGATCATTGGAAAAAGAATTCCGCCTTGGTAGACAATAGCCCCTTCCGTTTCTCTGTCTCTCCGCTGGTAGTTCTATCCTGAGATATTGCGGAATAGGATAGCAGAGAAGAGGAAGAGAGATCAAATCCTTGTAGAGGCGTGGTGAAATCAGAACACTTACAAAGTGCAAGCCAAGTGCACGTCTGGTAGATACGTATAACATAGCATGGCATATTGCATCTGTGTGTGACCACGAGTGTGTTCAGCATGTAAGCTTTCATCGACCGGCACCTCAACACCGCCCCAATACTTGCAAATTCATCCGTGTCCTCATCGTCGTTTTCATCAAAGGAGAACGACGGAACTCGTCGCAACAACATCGTTCGTTCAGGGTGAGGTGGCCATATTCATCTACTTCGATCGCGATGTTCTCCGCTATTTGTCTTCATCATCCAAAGCCCCTTCCTCGGTCCTACCCAAGCCTTCGTCCAGCGGTAGGCTTGTCGTTCAATATAGATATCTCCTGTGGTGTCCGCGCAGCATGCTCTGCACATTCTAGTCGCTTTCGTATATGATAAGGATGCTCCTGCATACGATGCGTACTTCCGCTTCGACAAGTGCTGCGCAGAGAAGTTCAAGTGCGTCGAGCAGGCGCGTGAGCAGAATAAATAGGGAGGGTTGCGTTCCGGTGTGGTTATGGCATTGCCTGACGTGGGTGTGTTTGACACCTCCAAGAGGGATGGGGGCACGGAGGTGGAGAAGGGAAAGAGCCCCGCGGTCTCGTCTGGACTTGGGTGATCGTTTGCATACACCTAGACCAGTTCCTGAGCATCAACAGAGCCATCGACAGGGGGTATACCTGACAGCCCGTAAAATATATGCCAGTACTGAGGAATGGTCGTGTTTGCAGCGGTGCGAATCATCTGCTCTTTCTCTGGCGGGTAGTAGTACGATCTCCTGTTGACGTCGAGAATGCATGATATGTGGAATCCACACACGATATTCTCCAGGACGGTCGTGGTGGTTGTTCCATTAGCTGGTGTGAAGGCGGGTATACCATTTATCAGGTGGTTTCCGAGCCACAACACCCCTAGGAACTCTGGGATCCATGGAAGTGGCAGTTTTGATCCTGATGCAGCCAACGTAGCGGCGTCGATGTCTGTCAATATGCCACCGCGAATGTGCTGGTAGAATGCTAGTTCTCTAGGGAGAGTTGGTTAAGGAGTAACGAGCCGTCCTCTGTTGTTTGCACCCCTGCGTACCCACCGACCTGTGAGGAGGGCAGCGTGACAAACCAAGAAGCCTAAGAAGCCTGAAATCGAAGCTGTCAACTTCGATCCTCGTGGCCACCTGGTGAATAGCTGGACTGACGTCGAGCGTCCTCAGTGCTGGCGTTGCTGGTAATAGCGAAACGAAGTCCCTGCCCGTAGTCTCAATTTAATTCTGCTTTGCAGTCTGCCAAAGCAGCCTACACTTTGTCATTGAATCGGTGCGCAACCGAAGCAGTGGGCAAGCTCGTCAAAAAGTGGAATTCGTGCATTGTGAAATGCCTACATGAGCCAACCCTGAGCTACGCTTGGGTCCTCAAATGCTGAACTGAACTTGATCGATGATCGGCGCCTTCGTCCACAAGTTATGAAACTGGACAATCTGATTCTGCAAAGTACTGCGGCACCCACTGCATAGCAAAAGCGTTCGTAGACTTGCCATCAATGTTCTCTTCAACGCGAGCACTGAAAGAGTCGAATTTCTTATCATAAGCATTCGATATGACAGACGGTCACTAGCGTGGCTGCATATGTACCTGGCCTGTGCTCCAGGCCCAGCGTGGCAGGATTACCTACATGATTGCTGGCTAATGTACTGTACACACAGAGCATGGCACCTGCAACGTGTCCACAGCATATTGGCGCTTAACTTCAAACCTGTCTGAAACTGTCTGATTTATACACCCCAACCTCGAATCCAAGCTGCAAACCCAATGGCTCATAAGCAGTCGAAGAAGCATCCCGGCTCGACCGCATCCAACCTTCCCTCGGTACGCGTTTTATACCTTGCACGCCATGGTATATATTGATCTCCGCCCAAACAGACACAAGGAACGTCTCACCCCTCTGCCGACGCCTCCTTGATCGCTGGAACATCGGCGAATGCCCTTCGAAAGTTGTTGTCTAGGATGGGACGCCTCTCCCTTCGGCCGAACCAGGTTCAATCAGAGCTTCGCTCTACAGAGGCAACCGACACCAGACTTGGCAGCCAAATCAATGTCGCACAACAGGCAATGGTCGACATTAAGCCCATGTCCCGGGTGTTGCAAACAGTAGTTGGTCTTGTTGGACAGGCCGATACCGCGATGACGAATGTTCAAAATATCGAGGAGATTCTCCAGCCTCTTAAATTGTTCAATTCCTTTGTTACCACTCTATCCAGTGTAGGCGCTTTAACCTTCCGATGTCTGCATGTTCTAATGTAAGCGCACAGGTCCACCCTTATGTCCAGTTTTCGCTGGGGATTCTCACCGCTGCTTCTCAAGTACTTCTCTCTTCCCTCTCATGGATCCCTCGCTCATAAAGTCCCCATTAGTTGCTCATTAACCAAGCAAACCTAGACAATGAAGTGGTACTCCTCCTAACTACCGTAAAGGATGTCTACAAATTTCTTATGGAAGACGATACAATTGAGAATATGGATGGCATGAAAGAGACATTACGGAAGATTTCACAGGAGATGAGTGCTGCAGCGCTGTTCATCGTAAAATATTCCAAAAAGAAGAACATCTGTAGGTCCTACGTTCGGTCCCCTGATCTGCTTTGGTATGCTAATGGGATACATTGTCAGTGGTAAGAATCGGCGACAGCCTTGTTTCCGACCTGCAGACCGTCGTCCGTGGCCACGTCAAGAATCTGGGTGACCTGATGCAACAATATCGAGACCGCACGATACGGGACATCCGGATCAACATGTACCATGTACTTGAAGACCTGAACCTCGAAGGCATGGCTTACGCAGAAGGTGCGGGCCTGGATACAACCAAGATATGCCTCGACGGTACCAGGACAGAAATTCTGAAGGATATCACCAACTGGATTACCACATGTGACGTCAATGCCCCTCGCATCTTGTGGCTCCACGGCCGGGCCGGAACAGGAAAGTCTGCCATTGCCCATACAGTTGCGTCGTGGATCGAGGATGTGGGAGCACCCGGCACCTGTTTCTGCTTTGCTCGCGACAGGCAGGCTGAACGACTGGAGGAAAAGATTCTGACTACTATCGCCCGTGATCTGGCGGATCGTGACTCGTCGTTTCGACGAGCTTTGTCGAATGTGGTGTCAAATAACCGCTCTCTCAAGACCACTTGTGATGCTCTGCAGCAGTGGAAGCGATTCATCTTGGAGCCGCTATCGGAGATTAAAGGAGAGATAGTTGGGAATGTGGTTGTGGTAATCGATGCCTTGGATGAAAGTGGGCCGGAGAGATCGAGGAAGGGTATCCTGAGTCTTCTGAAATCGTCAGAAGCTGCCCGTCTGCCAGCCAATTTCCGGATCCTTTTGACGTCCAGACCATTGCCGGATATTGAACGTGTCATGAGGGATGTTCCACATGTGAAGGCAACCTCATTGGACGACATCCATTGGGAGTTGGTGAAACGTGATATACAGCTATATGTTTCCAAGGAACTTGACTGTCTTCCCAGCATTGGAGCAACGGAAGTCCAAAATGTTGTCGACAAATCTGATGGTCTGTTCGAGTGGGCTCGTCTGGCTTGTGAGTTCATCAGGTCAGGTAGAGCTAGAGAAACTTCGAAAGAACGCTACAACGATCTGATGGCTCTCGAGTCGGACGAAGGAAGAACGCTCCTGGATACGACTTACTTGGCAATCCTAGAGGGGGGCATACCTCAATCTGGGAAAGACCTGGAACGATATCGCTCCGTGATGCAGCAAGTCCTGATGACGCTAGAACCTCTTCCTTTGGCAGCCTTGAAGTTGATGCGCGAAAAATTCCCAAACGAGTGGGACCGCTATGATATTGTTCCCATCCTCGAGTTCTTGTCTCCAGTTCTGGGTGGTATTGTGGACCGCGTCTCCCCTGTGCGGCCCCTTCATGGATCTTTCTACGACTTCCTGATGGATAAAGAACGAAGTGGTGTCTATTTCATTGACACAGTCAACACACAGCATGCACGGGACATGGCTTTTGCTGCATTGCAGATTCTTCATGATGGCCTCCAATTCAATATCTGTGCATTGGAAAGCTCATACCTGGCCAATGCTGATGTTTCTGATCTATCAGAGAGAATCAAAGAGAAAATTCCACACCATCTCTCCTACTCCAGTCAATTCTGGGCCCAGCACCTGTGGAAAACAGCATTTGACTTGGAACTTGCATTGCTGGTGAAGGATGTTGTTGGAAGTGAAAAAATTCTGTTCTGGCTGGAGATAATGAGCCTTCTTGGGGTGGTTGGAAAGGGTGTGGATGCACTTGACACTATTGCAACATGGCTAAAGGTAAGTACTCCATGTGCAGTATGTGATAACATCTGACACAATGATGAAGGGACAAGATAGCTTCAAGGATGCATTGACATTGGTAGAAGATGGAATCAAGTTGATCCAGAACTTTGGCAGTGTGATATTGCACAGCACCCCACACCTTTATGTTTCTGCATTGCCATTCATTCCTCCCAATGCATTGTTATCAACAATGCTCTTGCCAAAATTCACAGGTCTTGCTGTAGTGGCTGAAGGAGGTTTGAAAGGTTGGCCAGTTGCACAGCTTCTTCTGCATGGCCATACTTCTTTGGTCAATTCAGTGGCATTCTCACCTGATGGGAAGAAGATTGTCTCAGGTTCAAGGGACAGGACTGTGAGAGTCTGGGATGTTGAGGGAGGTGTGCAGATTGGCAACCCCCTGGAGGGTCATAAAGATGCAGTCAATTCAGTTGCATTCTCCCCTGATGGGAGGAGGATTGTCTCAGGCTCTTGGGACAAGACTGTGAGGGTCTGGGATGTTGAGGGAGGTGTGCAGATTGGCAGCCCCCTGGAGGGCCATACAGATGCAGTCAATTCAGTTGCATTCTCCCCTGATGGTAAGAAGATTGTCTCAGGATCTTGGGACAAGACTGTGAGGGTCTGGGATGTTGAGGGAGGTGTGCAGATTGGCAGCTCTCTTGAGGGCCATACATCTGTAGTCAAGTCAGTTGCATTCTCTCCTGATGGGAAGAGGATTGTCTCAGGGTCACAGGACAACATTGTGAGGGTCTGGGATGTTGAGGGAGGTATGCAGATTGGCAGCCCTCTTGAGGGCCATACAGATTGTGTCAATTCAGTGGCATTCTCCCCTGATGGGAAGTGGATTGTCTCAGGCTCACAGGACAGGACTGTGAGGGTCTGGGATGTTGAGGCTGGTGTGCAAATTGGCAGCCCTCTTGAGGGACATACTTCTGGAGTCTTTTCAGTTGCATTCTCCCCTGATGGGAAAAGGATTGTCTCAGGCTCTTGGGACAAGACTGTGAGGGTGTGGGATTTTGAGGCAGGAGTGCAGATTGGCAACCCTCTTGAGGACCATACAGATGGAGTCAATTCAGTTGCATTCTCCCCTGATGGGAAGAGGATTGTCTCAGGGTCTTGGGACAAGAGTGTGAGAGTCTGGGATGTTGAGGGAGGTATGCAGATTGGCAGTCCCCTTGGGGGCCATACAGATTTTGTCAATTCAGTAGCATTCTCCCCTGATGGGAAGAGGATTGTCTCGGGTTCACAGGACAGGACTGTGATAGTCTGGGATGTTGAAGGAGGTGTGGAGATTGGGAGCTATTTTGAGGGCCATGCAGATGCAGTCAAATCAGTTGCATTCTCCCCTGATGGGAAGTGGATTGTCTCAGGCTCACAAGACAGGACTGTGAGGGTCTGGGATGTTGAGGCTGGTGTGCAAATTGGCAGCCCTCTTGAGGGACATACTTCTGGAGTCTTTTCAGTTGCATTCTCCCCTGATGGGAAGTGGATTGCCTCAGGCTCACAAGACAAGACTGTAAGGGTCTGGGATGTTGAGAGAGGTGTGCAGGTTGGCTGCCCTCTTGAGGGACATACATCTGGAGTCTTTTCTGTTGCATTCTCTGCTGATGGGAAGAGGATTGTCTCAGGCTCTCAGGACAAGACTGTGAGAGTCTGGGATGTTAAGGCAGGTATGCAGATTGGCAGCCACTTTGAGGGCCACACTTCTGGAGTCTATTCAGTTGCATTCTCTCCTGATGGGAAGAGGATTGTCTCAAGCTCCTGGGACAAGACTATGAAGGTCTGGGATGTTGAGGGATGTGTGCAGATTGGCAGCCACTTTGAGGGTCACACTTCTGGAGTCTATTCAGTTACATTCTCCCCTGATGGGAAGAGGATTGTCTCAGGCTCTCAGGACAAGACTGTGAGAATCTGGGATGTTGAGGGAGGTGTGCAGATTGGGAGCCATTTTGATGGCCATACAGATGCAGTCAAATCAGTTGCATTCTCCCCTGATGGGAAGAGGATTGTCTCAGGCTCACAGGACAGGACTGTGAGGGTCTGGGATGTTGAGAGAGGTGTGCATATTGGTAGCCCTCTTGGGGGTCATACTTCTTCAGTCAAATCAATCATATTCTCTCCTGATGGGAAAAGGATTGTCTCAGGCTCACAGGACAACACTGTAAGGGTCTGGGATGTTGAGACAGGAGTCCAGATTGGCAGCCCTCTTGAGGGTCATACTTTGGGAGTCAACTCAGTTGCATTCTCCCCTGATGGGAAGAGGATTGTCTCAGGGTCTTGGGACAAGACTGTGAGAGTCTGGAATGTTGAGGGAGGGATGCAGATTGGCAGCCCTCTTGAGGGCCATACAAATTGTGTCAATTCAGTGGCATTCTCCCCTGATGGGAAGTGGATTGTCTCAGGCTCAGAGGACAAGACTGTGAGAGTCTGGGATGTTGAAGAAAGTGTGCAGGTTGGTAGCCCTCTTGAGGGCCATACTTCTGCAGTCAGCTCAGTTGCATTCTCCCCTGATGGGAAGAGGATTGTCTCAGGCTCACAGGATAACACTGTGAAGGTCTGGGAGGCTGATCACTATCCTGGAATGACCAGTGTCCATGAGAAGTTGACAATAGTGGTATCCAACCCCTCCAGTGTACTCCCCCCTGCAGATGGTATGTATCTCCACCCTTTATGCATTCTCATTTCACTCAACCAGAAATGCAGGTATCAAAGAAAATCCCATTTGCTTTTCATTTGACCCCTTACATGCACTGCATGACAGTACTCCACTCATTGATGAGTCCATGCAAAAGGATGCTATGCTGGGCCAACCAGTCAAGTTGAAGGATGATGGTTGGATCAGAGGTCCAAAGGAACAGCTACTCCTTTGGACCCCCCCAGCACTTAGAAGGCCATTTTATTCAATGTGGACCTCAGTAATCCTTCCTAGAGGCTGTTGCCCAGAGTTGGATTTAAGCCAGATGGCCCATGGCAAGCAATGGCAGAAATGTTTCCATGCCACACAGTGAAATGACTCAGGGTACACTGATTTAGGGTTATCCATGAAACTTGATACTTACATGCCTGTTGATGTATTGCCAGTTGACACACTATCTCCAACCATCACTATACCCTACCAATTGTATATCTGCCATCCAGTATTACATACTGCATGTTGTCACCACTTACTTTGCCTCCCACTTTGTGATATCCTGGCCAAAGTACGTATATCACACATGTCATACAGTATGTACTTACATTTAGACAAAATACAATTTTGATGCCAAACATATATCATTTTCCCATCCCCCTCTTTGGCAACTCCTCATACTATGCTGGCACCCCATACATGGCTCATTTCCTCATTTCTCTTACAATCTCTTCCTTGTCCTGTTTCCAAATGTCCTCATTTGGCCATGTCATTTCCTGTCATTGCTGGCAGATCAGAATGTGAATGTTGTAGCGGTTTGTAATGCTGAAGGCACAGGCTAAACATAACAAAACTCATAGATATCATAGATAAAATATATACACAACAAATTCTCACCCAATTTGTGATGGATCTAGTTGTCCTGGAAAAGTGAAGGAGGTGTAATATGGTTCACAAAAGGAGTTTTTGACTATGCATTTATCCTAAGGTCTGCACCCTTCTCTGCCAGTATTTCACTCACTCCACACCAACTCCACCCACCCTCTGTTGCTTATGAGCCTTTTCTGACCTGACTGCTGTTGGACTTGGGGCCAGCCACTGTCAGACTGCATGGACCATCTTCTAAGAGGTCATGTGACCCCCCTTTGGACTTCTCCTCGACAGCATGTGGTCAGGTACTCTGCAGCACATGCACTGCATGGTCCAGCACCTAGACTGTTTCCTTTTTGGTTTGCTCTTTGTTACCTGTCATATGTTCTCTGTCTTCCCTTCATTCATTGTCTAGGAAATTTTGCTTGAAAATTTATGAGTCACCATATGTCAGTTCTGATTCTGATTACTGTACTGCTGTAGTGGTATAAAAGCTTGTACCATACTCTGCTGTTCTTCAGTATGAATATCAACTTAGTTCCTACTCCTTCTGTCTCTGTCTTCTGTCTGTCAGAGTTACCTCCAACTGTCTGTCTGGTCTCTACCTCTGAAATATGAGGGCTGAGATTGTGCAAGGGGGTAGTGCACAAGCTAAACCTGATGCCCTCACTCTGCTCCATCTTTTCCTCAGTGGACTTCATTCCTGCCAACACTCTGCCAGTTGGAGTTCATTTCTTCTGTGTCAGACTTGCTTCTGAACCTCTCCCCAGACCTTGTCTAGCATCAGAGTTGGTTGGAGTAGGCCTGGACTTGACAATCATGTCACCTTGTCAAAAGAAATACAAAGGTCCTGGCAATCAGTTCCCCCATTTCCATGTCTTCCAGAAACTGACAACCTTCCCCTCAGAGTTGGAGCTGAGTGTCAAGTCCAGGTTGACTGGGGTCAAGACTGGGCTGGAGACTGGTGAGGTTGGAAGGCCAAGGGTCAGGAAACAGGGGGGAGTAGAGGTCAGAGGGTGGACTGATTGGACTTAGTGACTGGTGACACAGTGCTATTCCCTTGTGTGGGTTGCAGTCTGAGTCCAAGGCCAAGGCAGGGAATTCAGATAAGACTTAGTTGATTTCAGACTGAGGAAATACAGCCTGAGTATCTATGAGCTTATATACTAGGGGTAACTATAGTACAGAGACTAGTAATGCCAGTATCACAGGGATTGGTTGGTAACATGATTGGTAAGAATAGTATTAGTAAGGTATGACATAGGTAACCAGAGACTGGGACAGAGACAAGGGTGGACTGGGTATGAGGCCAGGGTGAGCTCAACTGAAATGATACTTCATAGTAGCACTGCAAAGCAGTGCTATCCATGCTAGACCAACTGGAGATAGAGGTTTGGCAAGGCCAAGGCCAGTGTCAAGTCTGGGCCTACTCTGACCAACTCTGGCACTAGACAAGGTTGGGGGAGAGGAGTGGATGCAAGTCCAACATTGGCAAACAGAACTCCAACTAGCAGAGGAGCAGCAGGGACAAAGTCTGCCAAGGCAGAAGTGGAAAAGAGAGAGGGTGTTGGGTTTAGTTCATGTGCTACCCCCTTGCATGATCTTAGCCCTTGTATTTCAGAGGTAGAGACCAGATGGAAGATTGGAGATAACTCTGACAGGCAGAAGGCAGAGAGATATGGAGTAGGAACTTTGGTGATATTTGTACTAAAGAACAGCAGAGTACTGTACATGCTTTTATACTAATATGGAGGTACAGTAACTGGAATCAGAAATGACATATGGAGACTCATAAATTTTTGAGTAAAAACTTCCTGGACAATGAATGGGGGGAAGATGGAGAAACATATGATGGGTAACATAGAGCAAATCAAAAAGGAAACAGTCTAGGTGCTGGACCATGAGGTGCACATGCTGTGGAGTACCTGACTGCACACTGTCAAGGAGAAGTCCAAAGGGAGGTCACATGACCTCTTAGAGGATGGTCTGCATGGTCTGATGGTGGGCTGGTACCAAGTCTGACAGTAGTCAGGTCAGAGAAGGTTTGTAGATGACAGAGGGTAGGCACAGTGTGAGTGAAATGATGGGTGGAGTAGGGTGCAGAGCAAGTGGGGACTTAGGATAAACACATGGTTGTGACAGTGCCCCCCCCTTAGGGCCTGAACCCCTGAAGGCTGCATGTATGGAATGAGATCAACATGAGTTGATCATTTGAAATTGTTTTGATGCCTCAAGGACAATAGGTTTAGCTGCACAGAGTTTGAAGAGTCCACTTAAAACACATGTTAGGGCACTGAACCTTCATATCTTTTCCCCTCATCATGTCCTCCCAGCACCAAAGTAGAACCCCCTAACCCACCCCTGGGCACTCCCACAACTACACCCAGGTCACAGATGATGAGTTGGTCATCCTTAGCAACAACTCAAATGACACCAAACACAAGAAGGCAGAAGAGAAGGCATGTTGGTGAGGGGAGGCAGAGAAGAAGGAGTGAGAGCACAAGGTGGAGTGCAAGGCCAAGCAGGAGGAGGCCAAATGACAAAAAGCAGAGGAGGCACAACTGGAGGCAGAGCAGAGGCAGAGAGAGGAGGAAGAAGCCCAAAGGAAGAAAGTGGCAGACAAAGAGGAGGCACAGAAGAAGAAGGCAGCAGCAGAGGAGGCAGAGAGACAAAGGCAGAGGGCCTTGGAGGAGAGGGCCCAGGCCAAGTGGAATGAGGCCACCCAAAGATGAGTGGCAGAGCACTATGAGTCAGGTGGAACTGACTTGTAAGTTATTTTTTTACAGGTTATGTGGTATGGTGTATGATGTCAACACCACCCAGAGGGTCCCTGGGACCTCTGTGGTAGTCACTGTGACCAGGAGGGCCTTGTGCACCTGCTGTGTAGTGGGTCAAATGGCATGGTAGTGTGAACCAGAACAAGACAAGACCAAGGCCTGCATGCCTTGTCAAAATAAACAGAAGGTATGTAGTTGGATGAAGGAGGACATGGTGGCAGGGCCATCATGAAAGAGAGCAGGCATGGGGAGCTCCCAAGGGGAGAAGAAGAAGAAGCCACAAGGGAAGGGGAAGGTGATGGAGCTGGAGGAGGCAGATGACAAGCAGGAGGTAGGAGGAGAGGAGGAGGAACTGGCAATGCTGCATGAGGGCCCCTCAGGGGCAGGGGGCCCTTTGCAGTGGGCAGAGTGGGAGCAGGAATGGCAGCTGCAGGCAGAAGTGCATGAGATGGCTGCACTAGCCTTCAAGAGGATGGCAGCAGCAGCAGAGTGGATGGCAGAGGCCACAGAGTGAACAGCCAACAAGTTTGGGCTGTACTGCTGTGGGGAGTTGGATTTCCCTACACTACTTCATGTGCAAGAAGATCAGTCATGTGGGGAAGTCACACTTACTGAACCAGATTGGGCAGTTTCACAATCCCTGAGTCATGTTCTAGAGCCACACTCACTGTGATCATTGATTCATGACCCTTCGAGCCATGCAGCTGGTTGTGCATGCTTGTCAATGTAGCTCTGTTGGGCCCAAATGGCCCTTGATTGGCTGGGCTTGCACTCTATGAGGTCCTTACCAGTACTTCCCTGTTTCACTTCATGCACATTGCTCTTACTTGGCATGCTACTCAGAACCTGGTCAGGTCTTTTCCTTCACTGCTGTCTTGTCAGGGCCTCTCCCTGTAGGTTGACACAACTTGAGACTGTCACCCTGAGTTCATTTGTTCCTACCCTGTAGACCCTTCTGCTCCCATTGTACTATATGTTTAGTTAGGAGGTACTGTACAATGAAGGGCACCTTTTTGGCAGACCCCACTTGGAATTTAATTGGAGGAATCTTTGTATACATGACAACTAAACATCTTGTGATGACTCTGACACCCATTTTCCCTTGTCTCCCATCTGCCTGTCTCTTCTCACTCTCATGCTAGTCTAGATTCCCTCAGGATGACCCTAGGCAGATTCATCAACTTGCCTACAGCCACTTGCTTCTTAGCAGGGAGAAGTTTCACTCCCCACACCATGCCTGGGCAGAGTGGGCAGAGATGAGGAGGAGGGAGGACATGCACAAGGCCAGGGTGGCCAAGTTCAACTGCACTGGAGGAGGGTGGAAGAGGTTGGAGAATGAGGACATGGAGGACATGATCAAAGTGGCAGATGAAGGTGTGGAGGGGGACAACAAGGAAGAGGAGGAAGTCAGAGGAGAGCAGGGAGGTGGTGAAGGGCAGGAGTGTGGAGAAGACAAGGAAGGCAGGGAACAGGCAATGGAGGAGTAAGGTAGTTTTCTCTCTCTCTTTTTTTTGTTGTGTCTTTTTTTTGTATTTTTGTACTAATACAAAATAAACCTTTTGCTTTCTGATTCTAAGAAGTAAGACAGACAGGCAGAGAAAATTCTAAGGTACTTAATGGAGTTCAGAAAGGGGTGGAGTTGGCCCACAGAGGAAGGTTACATGGGCAGAGTACTATGGCAGAGGTTGATAAGGGCCAGGTTTGTGCAGATAACATTCATGAAAAGCAGAGATGATGTTGGAGGCATCTAGGTCAGTTGCAAGCAACCAAGAGGTTTCTTCATCAGTGTTCTCATAACCAGCCCAGTGGACTAGGTACAAGAGTTGACAGTAGTGGCAATGGTGGTCCACCTTAGAGTTGAGTATCTCTGACACTTCATACTCAAGATCACTGTTGATGTCAACTGGTGGAGGCAGAGGTTGTTGTCAGTTTGGGAAGGGATTAGCCACTGTGGTTTCCAGTTGCAAGACATGGAAGACTGGGTGTATTGAGCACATAGAGTCAAGGAGCTTTAGGGTGTCAGAGTGCATACCTGGCCTGGCCAAGATGATAAATGGACCTAAGTACTTTTTGGAGAGTTTTGGAGCAGAAGTACTTGGCTTTGATGTAGGCCTGTTCTCCAACCTTGAACTCAGGCAGAGGTATGCATTTAGCATCTGCTGGACCCTGGTAGTGCTGCTGAGTGGTGGACATTTCAGAGTGGAGGAAGTCATGGAGGGCAGAGAGCTCAATGACATAGTCATGAGCCTGCAGAGAGGTGAAGTCTTGGTCAGGGACTGTCAAGTCTGTGATGTCTGGGTTCAAGACTGGACCAGAGACCAAAGCAGGCACAAGGCTGAAGGGTCAGGATCAGGGGGGGAAGACAGGGGTACAGAAGGTGGACTGGTTGGACTTAGTGACTGAGAGTGCAGTTCTATTCCCTTGCATGGGTTTCAGTCTGAGTCTGAGGCCAAGAGGATTTCAGATAGGACTTATTTAATTTCAGACTGAGAAGTACAAGCCAAGTATCTACAGGTTTATATACTGGAAGTAACTATAGTACAGAGACCAGTAATGCTGGTCTTGCAAAGATTGCTAAGATGATTGGTAAGAGTGGTATTAGTAAGGTATGACTAAGGTGACTGGAGACCAGGACAGAGATGAGGGTGGACCAGGGATGAGACTGGGTTGGGCTCAATTGAAATGACACACACTGCAAAGCAGTGCTAACCACACTTGACCTACTGGGGGTAGGGGTTTGGTGAGGCCAAGGCCAGACTGAATGAGAGCAAGGCCAAGTACAGCTGGGGTTGAGGCATGGCTATGACAGTATCCCCCTCTTAGGGGTCAAACCCATGAGACCCCTGCAAGAGCAGTAGGCTGAGTCTGAAACCTGGCTGAATTTGAAAAATTGATACTTGTGGCTTGCTAAGCCCTTTGCATCTTTCTTCTGCACTCTACCTCATCATGTCTGACTCAAGGCTGACCATTATGACCAACAGCAATGAAGGCTGGGTTCCTATTGACTGGACCCAGGTGTCAGATGACACCATCAAATACAACACTGATGACAAAGAGGGGACATTGAGGGCAAAGGTGAAGGAGAGAAAGAGACAAAAGGTGGTCAAGCAAGCCCAGCAAGAAGAGCAGGCACAGCTGAAGGCTGAGAGATGGGAGAGGGAGAGGATTGAGGCTGAGCAGGTGCAGCAGGAGGCTGAGGAAAAGAAGGCACATGAGGAGGAGAGGTGCAGGACTGAGGCCAGAAAAGATGGTGAGGCTGGGGCCAGTGGTAGTGAGGCTGGTGAGGTGAAAAAGGTGGTCATGGACCCTGGGTAAGTACCTTTAAACCTTGTGCATTCTCCTCTTAACTGTCATGACCATGACACCAGCATTAGCCCCTAACACTTACTCTGCCCTCTTCCAACATGTTCCCACACTTCTCCACCCTCTTCTGACATGTTCCCACACTTCTCTGCCCTCTTCCAACATGTTCCCACACTTCTCCACCCTCTTCTGACATGTTCCCACACTTCTCTGCCCTCTTCCAACATGTTCCCATGCTCCTCTGACCCTCCCAATGCATCTCCACACCCCTCTGAAGTCCCCAGTCCACATTCCAGCCACCTCCACTCACCTGTGCCTCCTCCAAGGCCTTGGTTGGCTCAGTGGAATGTCAGATTTGCAACCCTGCATTCTAGATAGGGTTCCACCCTTGTGTCAGTTTTTCTCTGTTCTTCTGCTCCTTTGGTATTTACCCTCTCTCCCTTGTCTCAGTTAAGGTCCCCATTGTCCCTATCCTCTATCCCTTGTGTCAGAGGTACTGCTAACCTGTTATACATTTATTGGCTTGCATTCTACACTGCCCTGCCCTTGACCTACATCATATAAAGGCTGCATAGTACTCCAATGTAATCAGTATGAATATCAACAATAAAGTCCCCACTTCTGACTCCCTCTGAGTTCCCTCCAGAGTTTTGTCTCCACTCCTCTGAGACTGCTCTACTTCTGAAATATGAGGGCTGAGCTTGTGCAAGGGGGCAGTGCACTAGCTAAACCCAATGCCCTCCCATCTGACCTCCAACCTCTGACTCTGACCTCTGACCCCAAAACTTTCCTCTGTGCTCCTCCACTCCTTGTTTGCTGCATATCTTGCCACCCAGTGGTCAGATTCACTTCAGACTTTAACTGCTGTACTCTGCAGCCCAACCCACTCCTACTCCACCCTAAGAGGAAGTCAGGGGTATTGTGTGACTTGTACACTATATTTGTACTCTTACTTGTACAAGCTCTCTCACTTCCCCTACCACATCTGATATGCCTCCCATGACACATCCCCAACAATGGGATGCTACCAAGGCCCTTGCTACAGCCTTGGCAAACCCCTGATGTCTCCCTTTGGTTGTTGAGCCCTTCTGGACCTTCTCCTCCAGGGGGCACTCCAACTCTGACCCCACTCCAGACAGTGCCTCATGTGCTGCACCCTCCACCTGCCAGCAGTTCACCCTCTGCTCTCTGCCACCTCCTGTCATCATTCACCCTGGCAGAGATGGACCAGGCAACCCTGATGATGACCCTGATGATCCTGACTACCATCCTGGTGATGGGCCTGATAACAAAGATGATCCCAACAACCTCACAGATCCCCTTGATGACCCAGTCCTTGCTCTGAGCCAGGCCATCCATGCCCTAGCCCACTCCAACCAGCACTCCAGAGACTCTGCTCCACAAACCAAAGTCCACAAGCCAGACACCTTTGATAGGTCCAACCCTAAAAAACTCTGTGAGTTCTTGGTCCAATGTGAGCTCAATTTCCAGGACTGCCCCTGGGCATTCCACTCTGACCAAGCCAAGGTCACATATGCACAGTCCTACCTTAAGGGCATGGCATTGGCCTGGTTCAAACCAGATCTCCTCAATCTGGATGATTACCTTAATCATCCACCATGGATGGATGACCACCACAAGTTCCTCTGTGAGCTCACTACCAATTTCAGCCCTCATGATGCTGCTGCTGATGCAGTCCAGCATCTGGAAAACCTGACCATGAAGGACTCTTTGCATATTGCAAAGTACTTAGTGGAGTTCAACTACTGGGCTTCTCAGGTGAAAGACTATGGCAAAGGTGCACTCCCACCACTTCTACTCTGGTCTCCCCAACCACATCAAGGATGAAGTGTCCCACATTGGCAAGCCTGCCACTCTTCATACACTCCATGAGTTGGCCCAGACAGTAGATGTGCATTACTGGGAGTGCAAGTCAGAAGTCTCCCACTCTGACAAGCCTCCTCCTGCTGAAAGAACTCTGCTCCACACCTCCAACTCCAAGCTGAAACCCTCTGCATCATCCTCCACCCCTAAGTCTGACTCTAAAAAGACCAAAGCACCAAAGTCCAACATCAACCATCCCCTCAGAAAAGATGGCAAGCTCACAGCAGCTGAGTGGCTCTGCTGCCTTACTAATGGGCTATGCCTCTTCTGTGGTGAACCTGGCCACTCCACCAAGGATTGCCCAAAGTCAACTTCCCACACTGCCAAGGCCCATGCTGCTAAGGCTGCAACTCCAACCACTCTGCCTGCAGAGAGGTCAGAGCCAAACTGTACATCCTGGAGGAAGCATTGATCCCATCCATGCAGAAGTCCACCTCAACACATCTGCTCTTTCCAACCCTAATTCTCTTCTTCTGATCATTTCACTTCCTATTTCTCCATAGATACTTTCCCTGCTCTGGTTGACTCAGGCTCTTTGCACTGCTTTGTCAACCCCTCTTTAGTTAAAAAATATAAAGTTACAACAAAAAATGTCTCTCTGCCTATTCCTCTCTGACTCTTTGATGGTACTAGTAATACCACCATTTCCAAAGTAGTAGATTTCTCCATCTGCTTTGCCTCTGGCAATGTCACATCTGTTTCCTGTTATGTAACTCCATTGGATTCTGCCTGTTCATTGGTCTTTGGACACAACTGGCTCACCAACTACAATCTGTTGATTGACTGGGTACTGAGCAGTATCTCATTCCAACTACTGATACAAAGAATGCCAATGCCCTTGGCACCTCTGTCACCTTCTGTCATGACTTCTACTTCAGTGCCAACACCCTCTGCTCCATCTGCTCCTCTGACATCAGCTCCACTGCCTTCTCCAATGGCTGAATTGCCATGCACTGCTCCACATATCTCTCTCATTGGAGCTGCAGCTTTTGTCCATGCCTGTGCCCTTCCTGGCTCTGCACAGTTCCACTTGCACCTCTGCCCTGAAGATATGAAACTCCAAGCCTCTTCAATGCCCTCTGCACCTCCTGATCTCTCTGTGGTACCCTCCAACTACCATGAGTTTGCTGATGTCTTTAGTAAAGCAAAGGCTACTGGACTCCCTCCACACTGCAGCTTTGATTTAAATATAGATCTCAAAGAAGGGGCTTCTCATCTCTAGGCACTGTCCACTCCCTCTCTCTGCCTGAGCTTGAGGCACTCCACACCTTCATAGACAAGCACCTCAGCTATGGTTTCA